ATGTCATTTTAGTGCCAGGAATGTCTTTCTTGTTTATTCTAGACCCTATTCGGAAATTGGCATCTTTTGAAATTTGTGTGAAATTGGCAAAATTGCTAAATTCTGACCACTGTACTGGATAGTTGAATTTCATAAATGGGTGGTTTCTTGCACCCATTCGATAGAAAAAATGGAGTTCTATCGAAATATTCATGTTTTTTGTCGACTAGTACAGTGAAATTGGCTGAAAATGGGGCTTAAAGTGGGCAAAATCGCCGATGCGTAAACATCGCCGAGACCGCTAACTTTGCGAGAGCATAATTCCGTATGTTTTCTATCAAATTTCAAACTTTTGGTGTCATTATGATCGAGAAAAGATTCTCTATCTTTTCATAAGAGAAAATAATTTTTTTTTTTTTTTAAATTTGGCCGACCCTGAGAACGAGTTTCGGAAAGGGCCTGTCGACCCTCAAAGGGTTAAGTGCCAACTTCGCAGCCTCATATCTCGGTATGTACTGACCTTAATTTTTTTTATTTTAATCCTATAACACAGAAAAATGTTCTCTATTTCCATAATAAAAAAAAAGATTTTTTTTTATTTTTCAAAATATTTGGGGCACTGGGAACACACACACACACACATATATATATATATATATATATATATATATATATATATATATATATATATATATATATATATATATATATATATATATATATATATATATATATATATAATATATATATATATATATATACATATATATATATATATATATATATATATATATATATATATATATATATATATATATATATATATATATATATATATATATATATATATATATACGGACTGTTTAGGGACTAAAAGAGAAAATGGAGTGTTTGTGATGCTAACTGCACTAGATCACTAGTTTCATAAGGAAAACACAAACAATGTACAGTATTTATAAATAAGAAATATTGTACTAAAACATAATAGAGAATGTAAAGAAATAAGCTGGTTTTATAAAATGTACATACATGTACACCTACCATCCGACTTACGACCGAGTTCGGTTCCGAGAAACCGGTCGTAAGTCGAAATGGACATAAGTCGAACTTTACTACTGAATATCAACATCACATTTTTGTAATGTCTTTATTTTACAATGGACCCTCACATACCGTTGGCATCACATAACGTTAAATTTGCATACCGATACATTTTATTGCTAAAATTTTGCCTCGCATACCGCTAAAAAACTCGCTCAACGCTATTGGTCTGAGACGCGTCTAATGTGCGGCCTGAGCCAGCCTCACGTTCCACCGGTGGCATTGTTTACAAGCCAGCCTCCACGGTAACATCCAAGTATACAATCGGAACATTTCATATTATTACAGCGTTTTTGGTGATTTCATCTGCAAAATAAGTGACCATGGGCCCCAAGAAAGCTTCTAGTGCTAACCCTGTGGTAAAAAGGGTGAGAAATACTATCATACCACAGTCAGCTGCTGCTGCACCACGATCAGTTGTTGCTGGACCAGTCAGCTGTTGCTGGATCAGTCAGCTGCTGCTGCACCATGGTCAGCTGTTGCTGGACCAGTCAGCTGTTGCTGGATCAGTCAGCTGCTGCTGCACCACGGTCAGCTGCTGCACCACGGTCAGCTGTTGCTGGACCAGTCAGCTGTTGCTGGATCAGTCAGCTGCTGCTGCACCACATTCAGCTGTTGCTGGACCAGTCAGCTGTTGCTGGATCAGTCAGCTGCTGCTGCACCACGATCAGCTGTTGCTGGACCAGTCAGCTGTTGCTGGATCAGTCAGCTGCTGCTGCACCACGTTCAGCTGTTGCTGGACCAATCAGCTGTTGCTGGATCAGTCAGCTGCTGCTGCACCACGATCAGCTGTTGCTGGACCAGTCAGCTGTTGCTGGATCAGTCAGCTGTTGCTGGACCAGTCAGCTGTTGATGGATCATTCAGCATCTGCTGCACCACGGTCAGCTGCTGTTGCACCACCATCAGCTGTTTCTGAACATGACTCGTCCCGAACCCGTCCGTCCAGCCTGAGTGCCTGCCTTGCCGTCATTGTTTACAAGCCGGGGTGGCCGGTTGCATGCATATATTCGATACATTTTGTATTATTCCATTATTTATAGTGCTTGTAACTGCTAAATAAGCCACCATGGGCCCAAAGAAAGCTTATAGTGCAAACCCTGTGGTAAAAAGGGTGATAAATACTATCGTACCACGGTCAGCTGTTACTGGACCAGTCAGCTGTTGCTGCACCACAGCTGCTGCTGCACCATGGTCAGCTGTTGCTGCACCATGGTGCTGCTGCACCATGGTCAGCTGTTGCTGCACCACAGCTGCTGCTGCACCATGTTCAGCTGTTGCTGCACCACAGTCAGCTGTTCTTGTTGCTGCACCACCGTCAGCTGTATTACTTGAAGATGTGGAGAGTGTGTTGTTGGTGTGGCTTAACGTGAAACAATTACCAAGAAACGATTAACCCCGGAGGGTTAGCCACCTAGGATAACCCAAGAAAGTCAGTGCATCATCGAGGACTGTAACTTATTTCCATTGGGGTCCTTTATCTTGTTCCCTAGGATGTGACCCACAACAGTTGACTAACACCCAGGTGAACAGGAAAAAAATGCCTGGAACTAGTGCTCATATTGGTGAGGTTAGTGGGGAGGATGTGGAAGAGTTGGTGGAGGAGGACAATGAAGAACTAACCACTGATGAGCTGCTAGATCATCTTCAACAGTAAGATGCCACACCTGAGGAAACTGCTCCGGAGGAGGGGATAGAGAAATTGAAGAAGTTGCCTACTTCAAAGATTAAGGAAGTGTGTGCAATGTGGCTTAAAGTGCAAACCTTTTTTGATGAAAATCACCCTCACACAGCTATTGCAAGCCATGCTGGTGACTATTACACTGACAATGTTGTGAAACACTTTAGGAAAGTCATAAAGGAATGAGAGGTACAGGCCTCTATGGACAGATATGTTGTGCGACAGAAGTCCAGTGACTCTCAAGCTGGTCCTAGTGGCATTAAAAGAAGAAGGGAAGTAACCCCAGAAAAGGACTTGACACCTCTAGTCCTAATGGAAGGGGATTCCCCTTCTAAACACTAAGACCATCAACACTCTCCCCTCCTCCCATCCCATCAATCATCACCAGATCTTCAATAAACTGTGCATGTCTTCTTCAGTTTGTGTGTATTAAAATTAATATTTCATGTGGTAAAAAATTTTTTTTTTCATACTTTTGGGTGTCTTGCACGGATTAATTTGATTTCCATTATTTCTTATGGGGAAAATTAATTCGCATAACGATAATTTCGCATAACATTGAGCTCTCAGGAACGGATTAATAGCGCTATGCGAGGGTCCACTGTATTGTTTTATTTTGGTATTTCATGTTTTTATTTACTTTTTATGCTGTTAATACTGTATTTTATACTGTAAGGTTTAGGATAAACACTTTGTACAACACAAATAGTTGTTTATTTCCCAGAAATTTAGCAAAAAAAAACACGGTCGTAAGTCGAGCAGGTCGTAAGTCGGATGGTAGGTGTATTTACCTTGGAGAACAGATGCTGATGGAGGTGGAGGGTGGAAAAGATAGGCAGAGCAGTGTATGCTGTCAGTGGCTCTATAAACCCAACAACAACAAATGTAGGCAGAGGAGACTGGAGGAGTTCGTTTCATTTCGTGCTTTTTCTATTGCTTAATTGCTTAACTTACTTGCTACACTCTTAATGCTACACTTTATTGCTGAACTTAATTGCTACAATTTGTCTTTTATTTTTTTTTCAATTCACTGGAGGAGTTCATACTGCTTTAGTATCGTACATATCATAGAAGTACTACACTGGTACTGCCTCGCCAACTCCACTTCCCACACACCTTGCTCGTGTTTTTCTATGATTTCATTCTTTAATTCAATGGACATCATCCTCTTCTTCTCAGCGCTGTCCTTTGCACTTACTTTCTTAGGACCCATGGTTAGAAAAAAGAAATTTGGTAAAATAACTGCACAAAAAGCACAAAATGCAAGCACAACATAAGCGAGATGCTTCCATGGCGAGGTAAACACATGCACTGCTGAGCGGATGTTGTGACGTTCGCTGTGCCAACTAGTGGTGGTGTATCTGAAGCTCACTCCTAACTCGGATTTTGGCTCATAACTCAGAGCACAAAATCGACCATGCGACAGCTCGTAACTCGGAAAACTCGTACGTTGGGGCACTCATAAGTCAAGGTACCACTGTATATATTTCTCCTCCTAGCTTTACTTTTAGTTCCTTTACATGTGCCTGTTTATTTTTTTAAATTGCTTTCCTTGTCCTACAGTCGATTTATATTTTCCACAATTTTTGGTTAACTGGAGCAAGCAATTTATGGCTCACACATTTTTTTTTTTTTTTTTTTTACACGGAGCAAAATTCCATAGGGCAGGATTGCCTTCTAAAGTATTATCCCCATCTTGAGTTTGTTCCCAGACTGGTCTATTTATCTATAAATGGTTGAACCCCTTCCTGAATATTTTTCCTTTCCTTTAAGATTTTCATGCTTTGGCAATTCCCTCTGTATCATTGCATGTTTTATCTTAAAATTTATGTTTTACTTTTCCTTACATATATTATTCAACTTATGCTATTTCATAGTATCCTCTGATTCTCCATATTCGCCATGTGAAAGATGCATCAATGATATAAATTTAAGATAATGTATATAACTACAGTGTGTCCTTAAGCTCCTCCAGAACTGTTTGGCAATACAAGATTTTCTATATCTCAATCTGTATTAAAATATGTACATGTATTTGATAAAAATCAATCATTAATACATACAGGGAGACTGACAAATTTTTCATTAGTATGGCTAGTTTGTATGAGATGTTAATGAAAAAAAAGTATTAGCTAGCAGAGAAAAAAAAGTTGCAGGCATCAAAATGACTATTTCCTCGGAATATAATTGTACACAAGCAAAATAAAAAAGGAACATAACCAAGGCACTGCTGAGACTAACCTGTCAGTGGTGTAAACATAGGCTTGGCCAGTTCCAGCAATGGGCATAAGAATGTCTTGCTCCAACTGAATACTTTCTGTACCTTCAGAATCCTCACAGCTACAAAAATGTCATCAAAGTAATCACCATATTGGCAGATAAAAGAAAGTACACTATGTAAATGACAAATATGTACAGTATTACATTCAAACAATTTAAATGTCTCATTAAATTCTACTTTTTACTCATTACAACCTCACTATGATTATCTTGGATGTATTTAACTAACGAGTAATAATTAACATTTAGGCACTGTATGCTTACCCAGTACCTTACCTATAAAAATCTTGTCTGGAATTAAAAATTTCTCCTACTCGCTTGAATATATCAGGAGAGCAAATGTATACGCCACAATTGATCAAATTAGACACAAAGGTGGATGGTTTCTCAACATAGTGGAGAATTTGATGCGTTTCTTTGTCTTCAACTGAAAATGACATACAGAAAAACTTTATAATTACAATAAAACCAAAATAACTTAAATGTAAAGTTCAGTCTGAAAACTTCTACGGAACATTCCTGATTTACAATTTTACTTTACAAAGGTATATAACTGAAGATTTCAATACAAATCTTTTGTAAACATCATATATTATGCACAGCATAAACTAAGTTTAATGCTAAGACAAGATTAGCAAATAATCAAATAAAATACTACAACAGTTGACTTTATATACAAATGCAAGTTAAAATAAATTACTAATTGCAATTCATATAATGCCATTTACATAGGAAGAGTATTTACAATTATGGGGAACATTCTATGCATCATGTTATAAGAATAAAACTAGGATAATGGGGCAAAATCATAGTAGATCCCTCTAATAGACACACCTAAAATTGGAAGGTTGGCCTAAAGGCTGCACTACATACCAATACAGCCATACATAGTGGATTGCTGCCGTGTGGCTTCTGTGCCCATGATAGTGATGAGGGAAGGTGTTGAGAGGCTGGTATGAAAATTTAGTATTTCCTGCAGAGGAAAATCTCCACACACATCCCCATTCAACACAAAGAAAGCATCAGGATTTCCTGAACTAATTTGATCTCTGAAGTGATAAATGCCTCCTGCTGTGCCTAAGGCTTGGTATTCTTGAAGATATCTGGATTGTAATAAGTGAAAGAGGCAACACTATTAACAAATGATATATATTTCATAAAAATGTTGCAATTAATTAATGAAGTACAGATTATAATACTGTATTTTCAAATACAGCAGTCCCCCCGTATCTAAAGGGGATATGTTCCAAGACCTACCATGGATACCTGAAACTGTGGATAGTAGTGAACCCTAAATATAAGTCATTTTTCCTTTAATTGCATGCCTATGATAAAGTTTAATTGACAAATTATGCAAAATAAGGCTAGAATTAATACTTTTCACTGATGGGAAGCATTACATGACTTTTCTTAGACTTTGAAGAACTGCCAGCTTCTATACTTTTGCACTTTCGGGCTATTATTACGAAAAATTAAGGGTTATTTTGGGCCAAAGTAAAGAGTGGATAACTAAAACCACAGATATCAAATCTGTGGACACAGGGGTCCTACTGTACTGTGGTGCAAAGAAAATTAACAATGCAATAAACAATTTTAACAAATGCCTATGGTAAGAAGATAAAAAAATCCCATTTCAGCTGCTAAAGCAATATTTTTTATTCAAACCAATAACAAGGCTCCTAACTTCTCTGAAATGTAATTTTATGATAAATTTATAAACTTTTCATATTATATAAACAGTAAAACAATTTCATTATACTGTACAGTACATTATATATGACTGACAGTCATGCAAATAAAACTGGCCTGCATTTATTAACACTTACTTGCAGCTGGCATTATTTAAATAGTTTTCCCTATCAGTTGCATTTGAGAGTAACAAGTAGGTATTAAAAATTAAGTCAAAATTGATTAACAATTACAGTACCTGATCCTAATTTTGTATGCAGCAATCATGTCTGCCACAAACTGCTGCAGTTGCTGTGCTGGGAAATACCCAAGGAGTAAAATTTCTCTTATGTCAGGCACAGATGCACATGCTTCTATATGATGCTGGACCATGGGAAGGCCTGCTACTGGAAACAGAGGCTTGGGCACATCCAAAGACAAAGGCCGAAATCGTGTGCCTGTGATATAACACAATGTATTTTTTTTTTCACACAAACCATGACTTATTGAAAATACAGCAACTATTCTTATTTTATAATAGCCTTCATTCTCCATTGGCAATTGTGCCTATAGCATAAGGGAGCCATCAGGAGGTTATAATAATGTAGAGGGTGATAATGCTTGGCATATTTATTGTCAGCACATAACCCTAAGAACCAATTTTAAAGAAATAAAGTGAAAAACTAAAAGAAATCATTAAAGGAAAAATATTGCAGGACTTAATGAAGGGATGTGGTAAGAGAAGTGAACAATTAAAATTAAAAGACATCATGCATTCAGCCAAAGAAATGAAAACAGTCGCAAATGAGATACAGTAGGGCCCTGCTTTATGCCATTTCACCTTACAGCATTTCACTAATACAGACATTTCAAATTATGACCAAAACTTGCTATACAGTTCCCCCCATCTGACTTTCTAATACGGTCACTGCACCCCACCCGATTTGTTTACATTCTCTGAGTTCCATGAGCACTGTCTCTCCATTATGTCTGGAAACTTTCCAAAATTTCAAGTGTTTTAAAGTTATTTCATGTTTTATATATACAGTGGAACCTCAGGTTACGAATGCCCCACCATGCGAATTTTTCAGGATACAAACTGTCGTTTGGTCAATTTTTTGCTTCAGGATATGAAAAATTTCATGATGCAAACTTCCCCCCCTCAAGGGAGGTTCCTTAAATAAATAAATAAATAAATAAAATATATATTTCTTTGCAAAGGTTACAATGTGTTTACAGATTGTAATATGATTGGAGCAAAGAAAGCCACTATCATGCCAAGTCATTTCGGGCAGAAATGCCTACTTAAGACTACACCTACCATCCGACTTACGACCGAGTTCGGTTCCGAGAAACCGGTAGTAAGTTGAAATGGATGCAAGTCGAACTTTACTACTGAATATCAACATCACATTTTTGTAATGACTTTATTTTATTGTTTTATTTTGGTATTTCATGTTTTACTTTACTTTTTATGCTGTTAGTACTGTATTTTATACTGCAAGGGTTAGGATAAACACTGTGTACAACACAAATAGTTGTTTATTTCGCAGAAATTTGGCATAAAAAACACGGTCGTAAGTCGAGTGGTTGTAAGTCGAGCAGGTCGTAAGTCAGATGGCAGGTGTACTTAAGTCTAGACAGGTGAAAAGTGTACTAGTAGTGGTTACCAATGTTTTGCTGATGGAAAACTACTGGCAGCCTTTTGAAGTTTCTCCTTACTGTTGTTATTATTATATTGTATTATTATAATAATAATGAACTAGGGAATTGGATCTGTGCTCCAGGTCCCTAAATTATAATAATAATAATTAATTATTATAATAATACATACTAATAATAATGATAATACATAATAATTATGTATAATATAATAATAATATAGTAACATTTATGAAGGGGTTCAGGGAAACCGGCAGGCCGGACTTGAGTCCTGGAGATGGGAAGTACAGTGCCTGCACTCTGAAGGAGGGGTGTTAATGTTGCAGTTTAAAAACTGTAGTGTAAAGCACCCTTCTGGCAAGACAGTGATGGAGTGAATGATGGTGAAAGTTTTTCTTTTTCGGGCCACCCTGCCTTGGTGGGAATCGGCCAGTGTGATAAAAAAAAAAAAAAAAAAAAAAAAAAAAAAATAATAGTAGGTTGGTAGACAGCAACCACCCAAGGAGGTACTACCGTCCTGCCAAGTGAATGTAAAACAAAAGCCTGTAATTGTTTTACATTATGGAAGGATTGCTGGTGTTTTTTGCCTGTCTCATAAATATGCAAGAATGCAGGTACGTCTTGCTACTTCTACTTACACTTAGGTCACACTACACATACATGTACACATTTATTTATACACACTCATCTGAGTTTTCTTTGATTTTATCTTAATAGTTCTTGGTCTTATTACTTTTCCTTTTATATCCATGGGGAAGTGGAATAAGAATCTTTCCTCCGTAAGTCATGCATGTTGTAAAAGTCAATTAAAATGCCGGGAACAATGGGCTAGTAACCCCTTTTCCTGTAATAATTACTAAAAAAGAATAATAAGAAAATTGTCAAAGTGGGAAGTCTGAATGTGCGTGGATGTTGTGCAAATGATAAGAAAGAGATGATTGTGGATGTTATGAATGAGAAGAAGCTGGATGTCCTGGCTTTAAGTGAAACAAAGCTGAAGGGGGTGGGAGTGTTTCAGTGGAGAGGAATAAATGGGATTAGATAAGGGGTTTCAAATAGAGTTAGAGCTAAAGAAGGAGTAGCAATAATGTTGAAGGATAAGATATGGCAGGAAATGAGGGACTATAAATGTATAAATTCAAGGATTATGTGGAGTAAAATAAAGGTTGGATGTGAAAAGTGGGTTATAGTAAGCGTATATGCACCTGGAGAAGAGAGAAGTGTAGAGGAGAGAGAGAGATTTTGGGAAATGTTGAGTGAATGCGTGGGGAGTTTTGAACCAAGTGTGAGAGTACTTGTGGTTGGGGATTTCAATACTAAAGTGGGTAAAAATGTTGTGGAGGGAGTAGTAGGTAAATTTGGGGTGCCAGGGGTAAATGTAAATGGGGAGCCTTTAACCCTTTGAGGGTTTTGGTCGTACTAGTACGTCTTACGTGTAGGGGTTTTTGACGTACTAGTACGCATAAATTCTAGCGGCCTTAAATCTAGTGGGAGAAAGCTGGTAGGCCTTCATATGAAAGAATGGGTCTATGTGGTCAGTGTGCACAGTCTAAAAAAAATCCTGCAGCACACAGTGCATAATGAGAAAAAAAAAACTTTGACCATTTTTTTGGAATAAATCAGCGACTTTGCAGTGTATTTTCATATGGTATTTATTGTTGTATTCTAGTTTTCTTGGTCTCATTTTATAGAATGGAAGACATATTACAGAAATTGAGATGATTTTGACTGGTTTTACAATGAAAGGTGCCTTGAAATTGAGCTCAAAGTAGCAGAAATGTTCGATTTTTACCAAACTTCAAAAGTAAACAAATCGTGCCAAGCGTGCAATACACGTCAACTGGTGAGTCTAATATTCTTTCACAAGTGCACCAATAATATTTATACCATTTTTTACACTAATGCAGTAGTCTGCATAACAGTAAATCTTATATTTTTTGTGAGAATAAAAATTCAAAGTGGAAAGCAAAAGAATATAAGAGGGGCCTTGAGACGTGACTAATGACTAGAGGAAATGTCATTTTAGTGCCAGGAATGTCTTTCTTGTTTATTCTGGACCCTATTCAGAAATTGGCATCTTTTGAAATTTGTGTGAAATTGGCAAAATTGCTAAATTCTGACCACTGTACTGGATAGTTGAATTTCATAAATGGGTGGTTTCTTGCACCCATTCGATAGAAAAAATGGAGTTCTAGCGAAATATTCATGTTTTTTGTCGACTAGTACAGTGAAATTGGCCAAAAATGGGGCTCAAAGTGGGCAAAATCGCCGATGCGTAAACATCGCCGAGACCGCTAACTTTGCAAGAGCATAATTCCATAAGTTTTCTATCAAATTTCAAACTGTTGGTGTCTTTATGATCGGGAAAAGATTCTCTATCTTTTCATAAGAGAAAATAATTTTTTTTTTTTTTAAATTTGGCCGACCCTGAGAACGAGTTTCGGAGAGGGCCTGTCGACCCTCAAAGGGTTAATTGAGCTATGTATAGAAAGAGATTTGGTAATAAGTAATACATATTTTATGAAAAAGAGGATAAATAAATATACAAGGTATGATGTAGCACGTAATGAAAGTAGTTTGTTAGATTATGTATTGGTGGATAAAAGGTTAATGGGTAGGCTCCAGGATGTACATGTTTATAGAGGGGCAACTGATATATCAGATCATTATTTAGTTGTAGCTACAGTTAGAGTAAGAGGTAGATGGGACAAGAGGAAGGTGGCAACAACAAGTAGGAGGGAAGTGTAAGTGTATAAACTAAGGGAGGAGGAAGTTCGGGTGAGATATAAGCGACTATTGGCAGAAAGATGGGCTAGTGCAAAGATGAGTAGTGGGGGGATTGAAGAGGGTTGGACGAGTTTTAAAAATGCAGTATTAGAATGTGGGGCAGAAGTTTGTGGTTATAGGAGGGTGGGGCAGGAGGAAAGAGGAGCAACTGGTGGAATGATGAATTAAAGGGTGTGATAAAAGAGAAAAAGTTAGCTTATGAGAGGTTTTTACAAAGCAGAAGTCTTATAAGAAGAGCAGAGTATATGGAGAGTAAAAGAAAGGTGAAGAGAGTGGTGAGAGAGTGCAAAAGGAGAGCAGATGATAGAATGGGAGAGGCACTGTCAAGAAATTTTAATGAAAATAAGAAAAAATTTTGGAGTGAGTTAAACAAGTTAAGAAAGCCTAGGGAACGTATGGATTTGGCTCAGGCCACGTGGACATGTTTGGGACGAAAGCCCTTAACTGAGTTATTTGACGTTAGCTGAGCCAATACAGTGGACCCTCGACCAACGATATTAATCCGCTCCTGAGAGCTCATCATTAATCAAAATTATCATTAGTCAAGTTAATTTTCCCCTAAGAAATAATTGAAATCAAATGAATTCGTGCAAGACACCCAAAAGTATTGAAAAAAAAAATTTTTACCATATGAAATATTAATTTTAATACACAAACTGAAGAAGACGTGTACAATTACATGACACTTACCTTTATTGAAGATCTGGTGATGATTGATGGGATGGGAGGAGGGGAGACTGTGGATGGTGTTAAGTGTTTAGAAGGGGAATTCCCTTCCATTAGGACTTTTGGTGTCAAGTCCTTTTCCGGGGTTACTTCCCTTCTTTTAATGCCACTAGGACCAGCTTGAGAGTCACTGGACCTCTGTCGCACAACATATCTGTCCATAGAGGCCTGTACCTCCCGTTCCTTTATGACATTCCTAAAGTGTTTCACAACATTGTCAGTGTCACAATTAAACACTTGTTCAGGTTTCAATTCTTCACTGTCTATGTACTCCTTGAATTCCTGCACATATTTTTCAGCTGCTTTTTGGTCCAAACTGGCAGCCTCACCATGCCTTATCACACTATGTATGCCACTACGATTCTTAAATCTCTCAAACCAACCTTTGCTGGCCTTAAATTCACTCACATCACCACTAGTTGCAGGCATTTTTCTAATTAAATCCTCATGCAACTTCCTAGCCTTTTCACATATGATCGCTTGAGAGATGCTATCTCCTGCTATCTGTTTTTCGTTTATCCACACCAATAACAGTCTCTCAACATCTTCTATCACTTGCGATCTCAAGTTTCGAAAACATAGTTGCACCTTTGGCAAAAACAGCTTCCTTGATTGCCGTTTTCTTGGCCACAATGGTAGCGATGGTTGATTGGGGGTTTTATGTACAACCTGGCCAGCTCGGAGACACATACTCCACTTTCATACTTAGCAATGATCTCTTTCTTCGTATCCATAGTAATTCTCACCCTTTTTGCTGTAGGGTTGGCACTAGAAACTTTCTTGGGGCCCATGGTGGCTTATTTTGTAGGTGCAATCACTAAAAACGCTGTGATAATATGAAATGTTCCGATTGTATGTTTGGATGGGACCGCGGTGGCTGGCTGGCTTGTAAACAATGGCCACAAGTGGATGCATCTCAGACAGAACGAATCGTTTTGGTCGAGTTTTTTAGCATTAGTCGAGGCAAAATTTTTGCTTTAAAATGTATCGCTAGTTGGATTTATCATTAGACGATGCCATCGTTGGTCGAGGGTCCACTGTATTTTTACGCCAAAACGAGCCGTTAGCTGATTTTGGCACTAACCGATGAAACCTTTACCCAAGGGTCCACTGTATATGTGTGTGTGTTGATAAGCTAATGCTGTGTGATCAATGTTCTCAGCCAGCTATCACATCTTATACAATATCTAGATACTGTAGTAAAAAAAAAAAAAAAACTGTGGACCACACTTCTATTGGGACAACATTTCTGTCCATGTAGAGCTCTATCAAGTCTTGCCTTGATAAAGACAATACAAAACAATTTATTTGATACTGGTACTGTATATGCTTGCACCTATAACATTAGCAAAGTCAGGAGCAGAAAAGAGCGAGTATCATCAATCCTGGACAACCAGCATCTAGCCAACAAAATATTTAACAACAATGGCACTACAAGAACTCTAAATGCCTAAGAGCAAGGATTTCTTAAAAGGGTTAAACATACTGACTTAACTCACCAGTATAGAACCAGGGAATGATATCTGAAGAAAGTAATAGTTTATGTTTGTATTAAATTTTAAAACATTTATTTAATGGCCCTGCTATAATACGTTATTAAAGGACTACAGTACGCTATTTCACTTGTTACACAATAAATTTTGTAAAACATCGGCAACTATAAAAGCAGAACTTGCACATTCAAATACCACCTGTAACATTTTAGAAACTAGCATCTAATTTCATCCAACCAATATTGTTTTTTGATGTTACATAACCTCTTGAGAAACTGGCACATGTATTGCATTTACCACTTTCTAAAGAACAAGCATGTTCAATTTTTTACAAACCAGGATGTTCCTGGTCTCGAGTCTGCCACTGTTTACAGTTACTGAAATGTCATTATGTACCACAAATGCTACAGAATGGAATATTACAATTTAAAATAAACTATGATCCTTAAAATAACAAACTATGATCCTAAAATAACATCTGATTTACAAAACAGTAATATAATTAAAGCATATTTATTATAGAACACTTTCACAAAAAATGCTATTAAAAATGTGATTCTGTTAAAATATGCTATTCAGCAGACAGTTGTATACTTTCACAAAAAATGCTATTAAAAATGTGATTCTGTTAAAATATGCTATTCAGCAGACAGTTGTATACATGAATAAACAGAATGTTGGACAAGGGATTTGAACTGTCGTCCGTAAATTGGCAGTCCAACGCTCTACTGTTTTATACACCTTTGAAAAATATGGCCAGTATACCAGGCACTATCAGTATCACTATTCAAATTAATTATGCCCAGTTAATTAAGTGTCATAACTTTTGAGGCTATATAATCATCCCTACAAATTTACATGAATTTTCGTGTGCATTCACAGTGGCAACAAATACAGTGGTACCTTGACTTATGAGTGCCCCAACTTACAAGTTTTCCGAGTTACGAGCTGTTGCTCGGTCAATTTTTTGCTTAGAGTTGCGAGCCAAAATCTGAGTTACAAGCGAGCTTCAGATAACCCGCCACTAATTGGTGGTGTATCTGAGGTCAACTCTAACTCTGTACCCAGAGGAATGTCAGGTACTTTGTCCCATCCCACATGCTCTTCCAAGACATAACTGGAAGGATAATACTCCCACACTAATCCCAGATTATAATGAGGCACCTTGTCCCTTGTTTGGTTCTTGTATAAATCCGGAAAGAGGTAACCTCCATTTCAAAACTCAGAATTTTTCCAGAAACATTAAGGAAGGCCTCCGTGATATTTACCTGCCTCACGGAGGTTCCTTCAGTGGGTGGAGTGCTGACAGTGCTGGGTGGAGTAGTGATGGTGGTGGATGGGGCAGTGATAGTGGTGGGTGCAGTGGTGATGGTGGTGGGTGCAGTGGTGATGGTGGTGGGTGTAGTAGTGATAATGGTGGGTGGAGTAGATATGGTGGTGGGTGGAGTAGATATGGTGGTGGGTAGAGTAGATATGGTGGTGGGTGGAGTAGATATGCTGGTGGGTGGAGTAGATATGGTAGTGGGTGTAGTAGTGATGATGGTGGATGGAGTAGTGATGGTGGTGGATGTAGTGATAATGGGTGGAGTAGAGATGGTGGTGGGTGGAGTGGTGAGGGTCGTGGGTGTAGTAGTGGTGGTGGTGTCCATCTTTTCCACCCTCCACCTCCGCCAGTGTCTTCCGTTAGCCCAAGTCGTCTGATCTCCAAGGTAAATACACTTTATAAAACCAGTTTATTTCTTTACATTCTCTTTTATTATGTTTTTATACAATATTTCTAATTTATAAATATACTTTTCTTATTTAAAAACCCATAAGAAAAAAATGGGATGGCTTTTTGGAAACTGGAACGGATGAATGGTATTTCAATTAATTTCAACGGGGAAAATTGATTTGATATATGAGTAAATTGAGTTACGTGCTTGGTCATGGAACAAATTAAACTTGCAAGTCAAGGTACCACTGTATAAGGAGACTAGACAATACATCTCGTCTCACATCTCTTCAAGCTGGCACTGGACAGGCACCTAAAGTCAGTTCCGGATCAGCCGGGCTGTGGCTCGTACGTTGGTTCGCGTGCAGCCAGCAGCAACAGCCTGGTTGATCAGGCTCTGATCCACCAGGAGGCCTGGTCACAGACCGGGCCGCGGGGGCGTTGACCCCCGGAACTCTCTCCAGGTAAACTCCAGGTAAACCCGTCGATCATCCAACAAAGCATAACGGTACAATTCATTTCAGCTGGCAACTTGACCAAATAATTGCTGTCTGGCAGACACTGACTTTACAAGTCACCAATGTCAACAAGTTAGCCAAACCATAAGCTCAGAGATCTAAGATATAACCCCTAGTTAACCAACAATATAATTTAGGTTAATTTTAGGTTAGCATTTGCAGATAGTAAGACTAAGTTATATGTGGGAGAACACAGCCAGTGTGAAAATTTTGGAGTCTACTCCTGACAGATTGATGACTTAATAATGTAGATGAGATTACTGGTATTCAATAATTTCTCATGCTATGCTTATAAAGAATAAAATAAAGAATAAAGATTTTATTTCTTTGTAAAGGTTACAATGGGTAATTACAATTTTGATTTGTTAAGTACAAAGAAAGCCATAGATTTATCATTTATGTAGAGTAAGCTCTCTCAAAAAGCTCTCAAAAAGCTGACCTAGAAAATGTACAGAGAACCTTCACGGCGCTCATAACGGATATAAAACACCTCAATTACTGGGAGCGCTTGAGGTTCCTAAACCTGTATTCCCTGGAACGCAGGCGGGAGAGATACATGATTAAATACACCTGGAAAATCCTAGAGGGACTAGTACCAAACTTGCACACGAAAATCACTCACTACAAAAGCAAGAGACTTGGCAGACGATGCAACATCCCCCCAATGAAAAGCAGGGGTGTCACTAGCATGTTAAGAGACCATACAATAAGTGTCAGGGGCCCGAGACTGTTCAACTGCCTCCCAGCATACATAAGGGGGATTACCAACAGACCCCTGGCAGTCTTCAAGCTGGCACTGGACAAGCACCTAAAGTCGGTTCCTGACCAGCCGGGCTGTGGACCGTATGTTTTTTTTCATGCAGCCAGCAGCAACAGCCTGGTTGATCAGGCTCTGATCCACCAGGAGGCCTGGTCACAGACCGGGCCGCGGGGGCATTGACCCCCGGAACTCTCTCCAGGTAAACTCCAGGTATATAGTGAAATTTTTCTGTGTGATTGAAAAAGTACATCCTAAATTTCAAAGTGCATGGAAAAGTACATGCTATTAAATTTTGGATGCACTTTTTTCAAATACATTTACAAAAAAAAAATCACACTACATAGACCTTTATGACATGCTTACTGCATTAATAAAGAATGGTGCTCATGTACAGTTTGGTCACTTTGGTCAAGGCAGTTTTATTTGGCCAACAAAGTTGGGACCCCTCATAATATTTATTTCTACAACTACATGATACAACTTTACAGACCTAGCTGACATCAATGACAGCCCCTGGTTATGTTAAAGCATTTTGTGCAACATGGGTTAATCTCATCCCTGAGGATGCGACCCACACCAGTCGATTAATAAGTAACCACTTACTGCTTGGTGAACAGGGACAGCAGGTGCAAGGAAACATGCCCAACGTTTCACCTGTGCCGAGGATCGATCCCGGACCCTCAGTGTGTGAGCTGAGGACACTACCAACCAAGCCACAAGCCCCACAAGGTATTAAGGATTAATTTTGTCACAAATGTACTACCTAAGGGCCCCATGGCCTAGCTGGTAAAGCTCTCGCTTCACATGCTGAAGGCCCGAGTTCGATTCCCAGCAGGGGTGGAAACACTTCAACGTGTTTACTTACACCTGTTGTTCTGTTCATCTAGCAAGTAGGTATCTGGGTGTTAGTCGATTGGTGTGGGTCGCATCTGGGGGACAAGATTGAGGACCCCAGTGGAAATAAGACAAGACAGTCCCTCGATGATGCACTGCCTTTCTTGGGTTATCCTGGGTGGCTAACCCTCCAGGGTTAAAAATCCGAACAAAATCTTAAATTATTTCTAAGACAATTTTCCAGTAGTACTAGTATTTTGTTCCTATTATTATTTACTGAAAAGTGCTAAAACCGTAGGAGCTATAGTACATGTGGAAAGGGAGGCAATCAGGTTTGATCCAAGGAGTGAAACTAGCTCTAACTCCCTGGATCAAGAGCCCATCGGCACCCTGTGGCCTGGTGGTAAAAGCTCTCGCTTCACACGGTGAAGGTCCGGGTTCGATTCCCGGCGAAGGGGTGGAAACACCGGTTGTCTATGTTCACCCATCAGTATAATGGGTACCTGGGTGTTAGTGGACTGGTGTGGGTCGCATCCTGGGACAAAACTGACCTAATTTGTCTGAAATGTTCAGCACAACAAGCGGCTTTGTATATAGTAGTATGTCACTGATGTCAGCTAGGACTGTATACCTTGTACTCTACTGTAGTAAATAAAGATATTTTTATTATATTACTGTATTCTTTTGTACTTCTCTGTATTATGTTCAAATAAATAAATAAATATATTATTATTACCAACATCAAGGTCCTTGGAGGCGCTGAGATAATGTGCCGACTTGTAGTCCTTTAACATTACATAAATTTTCTGTTTACTGACAAGTATTTGGGTCACACTAATAGTGATTCAATATGTAATATTCACATACAGTACTGATACTTTCCTATATACAAGACTCACCTTTCTGAGGTCCACCTATAAGAATAACAGCTTTAAGCATCATTACTGTGTGACACGTCAACCACTACTACTGCTGCTGCTCTAGTGGTGGTGGTGCTGGCGGTGCTGGTGGTGGTGGTGCTGGCGGTGCTGGTGGTGGTGGTGCTGGCGGTGCTGGTGGTGCTGGTGGTGGCGGTGGTGCTGCTGCTGGCGGTGCTGCTGCTGGCGGTGCTGCTGCTGGCGGCTCTAAGGGTTGTCACTAGCTAAGGCTAAAAATAATATCTTTATTTACTACAGTACAGTACAAGGTATACAGTCCTAGCTGACATCAGTGACATACTACTATATACAAAGCCGCTTGTTATGCTGAACATGTCGGGCAAATTAGGTCAGTTTTGTCCCAGGATGCGACCCACACCAGTCCACTAACACCCAGGTACCCATTATACTGATGGGTGAACATAATAATAATAATAATAATAATAATAATAATAATAATAATAATAATAATAATAATTTATTTTGACATAATACATAGTTGTACAAAGGAATATAATAGTTGAGTGTAAATGTCAAAAGCCCCTTATATGCAGATTATATGATATAATCAAGGGGGAAAGCGCTAAACCCGAGATTTTACAGCGCCTGGGGGGGGGGGGATGTGGAAGGCATTCAGCTAATTCAGGGAACAGAGCCCAGATCCAATACCATAAATACAGACCCTCACCAAAATCAGGAACCTTCCTTAGGGTCCCTTATATGCAGAGCATTTCAGGCGAAAACAGGACAACAGGTGTAAGACACGCACAGTTTCTACCTGGTGGGAATCGAACCCAGACCCTCGCCATGTGAAGCGAGAGCTTTTAGCCACCAGAGCCCCAGGTACAAGTACACATAAATACAGTTACATAAATGGCCTGATCGCTAAAGCTCTCGCTTCACATGGCGAGGGTAAGGGTTCGATTCCCAGTGCGGGTAGAAACATCTGACGTGTTTCTTTACACCGGTTGTCTATGTTCACCCATCAGTAAAATGGGTACCTGGGTGTTAGTGGACAGGTGTGGGTCGCATCCTGGGACAAAACTGACCTAACCCGACATGCTCAGCATAACAAGCAGCTTTCTATATAGTAGTATGCCACTGATGTCAGCTAGGACTACCTTGTACATGTAGTAAATAAATATTATTATTATTATCCCCTCAAGGAAGGTTCCGTGACGCTGGTGAGGGGGCTCTAGATCTAGGGAATTGGATCTATGCTCCAGTTCCCTGAATTAAGGCGGCTGAATACATTCCACATCATCCCACAGGCGCTGTATAATCCTACGGGTTTAGCGCTCCCCTTGATTATAATAATAACAATATTATACAAAGCAGAATGTGGAAATTACCTAGAATAACCCCAAAATGTCAGAGTGACTTATTGTCATTGGGATCCTTATTATGGAAAATTTTCTAAGGGTGACTACCTGTACGTACCTCAACATTACATGCATACGAGTAATCTCATTGGGAGACAACACTATATTGTTTACCGTAGTCACCCCGTGTAGACATGTGAGAAAACTTCACCACCCCTGGTCACTGCAGGTGGGCCTTCGACCTCACAATCTTATCCATATCTATCCGAGACCAGTATAGATTGGATAGCACCCACAAGTACGGCGCTACTAATTAATTGTGGACTGTATAGATTATATTAGTGTAACTGAATGAAGGGGGGGGTAGGTTACACATGGATATATCCATCAAGGAAAAACACTTGTACATAATCTCACCACTTACCAGATATTCTCTGGTGGTCACTTGATGTAGCTGGATCACCCATAACCTATCCAATTAAAACATACCTATGGCCAGTATCAGTCTGCTATAACTAGAAAGGTTACTTAGCTGTGGGTGATTGATGCTCCTTATTTCCTCCATTCACCATCTCATTTCGATGTCCTGCTACACCAACACGGTTCTTATTCCAGCAGGACGAGGTATCCGTTGGTTTGTCCCGGTTTAGAAGTTGTGATTCCATAAAAACTTCACTATCCTCGAGACAGGAACAACGAGGTAAACATGTGCACACACACTCTGGGAATGGCAGCTCATATCGCTTCAACGATTCCTTTTAACTTAGTGTTATTATCACTGATTACATTACAATTCACAAGACGATTTAATGTCTCATAATTATTGTACACATTAGAGGTCACTCCATTAAGATCTGAGACTGATGAGTGAGGATTAACTCACGGGTATTTCCCCTGGACACACACCATGGCTGTGCACCAGTCACCCCCGGTTGAACCATTATTCACTAATTTTACCACCCTTTTACGGTGGTCCCGTAAATCACGTTCCCTCACTCTTCACCAGGAACAGTTACGGCACTTCCTATTATGAAGTGAGGCCTATATTAATCCTTAGGCCGCCGTGAACGCCAATTTCCTGGTCTCATGTTTTCACAACCTCCTCACTCCATTCAAAAAACTCCCGCTTCTCGCATGCCCTCAGCCGACCTCCCTCCCCGCATATCTGCGCAGGCGCAGGGGGAACACTGTTGGCTCTATTCAGATTTCAAATACATTTTGACTCAAATCAACACATTAAACACCTATTAGGCACTATAGCTTCGGAAAATTAATTATTTTCTACACTGCGGACGGGCGGAGGTCGTTGTTAGACGACTTAACTAATGTGGAGTACAATTTTCCCATCTTCACTGGCCACCTGGCTTGGGAACTCCAACATTGGTATTTACATAATCACCCATTAATTCTTTCCACCTGTCAACTCCTCAGGTAGGGCTCCGTCCAAAGCACACTCAAGCTTCCATGCTTCTGGTATTAACAATTTCCCTCTTATTGTAAGGTGTGACACTAAGCCTATGATCTCTGGGTTAATTTGTTGGGCATACTGGAATTATGAGACTTTAACAATAACAAGTCTCTCTCAGTATCCCAAGTCAGCCCCAGCACATTACTGCATATAGGCACTTCAACTCCATGGCCATCCATAATTATTGATCCCTCAAAATGGACTAATTACTGTTCCATTCCCTCAGGGGCATCCTTGCACCTTGCATTATTTCATTAACACCTTCACATATCCTCATTAGTTCCTCTTCAGTTGACGTCACCCGGAAATTGTCCATATAAGATTATTTACCCAATTACTTCGCTCAGTGGACCACCTGTGCACTTAATTTAAGGTGTGCATTTATCGTCGCCTGAAGTAAGAACAATTTATTATTTAACTGTTTATTAATTATATCTTTATAAGCAGTCAACAATTTTTGTGCCTTGCTCAGTTCGCAGAGCTGGGCCCGTTAACTGTCCATACGCCAACCTATAATTAGTAGGTAATTCTGGACGGTCAAGCTTCCACGGAAGTCGCACCCAGTAATGTCCAGATTCACATTTAACATCCTTCAGGTATTGTTCCTGAGTAAAGGAATCATTTGGACTTTCCCCATTTATATTAATCCCTATGCTGTCCAGCTCCCACAAATTAGACTGGTTCAACATCATTCTCGATAGAAGAATACTTGTACTGGGTTGACCTTTTATGAGTAGGACACCGTGACTGTATTCACTACTTCCTCTAGTCATTATTACTACGCGGTAGTCTGCCATATATTACATGGCCCGTACCAGTGTTGAGGAGAGTGACGCCGCATGGTTTTGGATTTATGCCCTTTATCCTGAATTATTACATCCAACACCGGCAAGGCTACCTCAGCTAGGCCATTATTATTGCCATTAGCTGCAACCTTTACATCAGTTACTGTAGTGTCAGGGTTATTAACATTATCATTATTGTCACCATTATTATAAGAATTACATACAACCCTGCACATAACTGTATGGTGCCTTCCCTTGTTGCATTGCTATCAATGCAACAAGGGAAGGCACCACATTGATGCTTTCTTTACTCTATATTCCATATGTTTGTCTTCTATATTAATTTCCTCATTTTCAGCCATGATGCAATGTATTAAATTCAACTTTATTAATAACACTGATACAACTTACAACACTGATACAACTTACAACACTGATACAACTTACAACACTGATACAACTTACAACACTGATTACAACTTACAACACTGATACAACTTACAACACTGATACAACTTACAACACTGATTACAACTTACAACACTGATACAACTTACAACACTGATACAACTTACAACACTGATACAACTTACAACACTGATACAACTTACAACACTGATACAACTTACAACACTGATTACAACTTACAACACTGATACAACTTACAACACTGATACAACTTACAACACTGATTACAACTTACAACACTGATACAACTTACAACACTGATACAACTTACAACACTGATACAACTTACAACACTGATACAACTTACAACACTGATACAACTTACAACACTGATTACAACTTACAACACTGATACAACTTACAACACTGATACAACTTACAACACTGATTACAACTTACAACACTGATACAACTTACAACACTGATACAGCTTACAACACTGATACAACTTACAACACTGATACAACTTACAACACTGATACAACTTACAACACTGATACAATTTACAACACTGATACAACTTACAACACTGATACAACTTACAACACTGATTACAACTTACAACACTGATACAACTTACAACACTGATACAATTTACAACACTGACACAACTTACAACACTGATACAACTTACAACACTGATACAACTTGCAACACTGATACAACTTGCAACACTGATACAACTTACAACACTGATACAACTTACAACACTGATACAACTTACAACACTGATACAACTTACAACACTGATACAACTTACAACACTGATTACAACTTACAACACTGATACAACTTACAACACTGATACAGCTTACAACACTGATACAACTTACAACACTGATACAACTTACAACACTGATACAACTTGAAAACACTGATACAACTTGCAACACTGATACAAATTACAACACTGATACAACTTACAACACTGATACAACTTACAACACTGATACAACTTACAACACTGATACAACTTACAACACTGATACAACTTACAACACTGATACAACTTACAACACTGATACAACTTACAACACTGATACAACTTACAACACTGATTACAACTTACAACACTGATACAACTTACAACACTGATACAGCTTACAACACTGATACAACTTACAACACTGATACAACTTACAACACTGATACAACTTGCAACACTGATACAACTTGCAACACTGATACAACTTACAACACTGATACA